AGAGCTGCCTGTGGGGGTTGGGGGACAGAAAATGGCGGTGAAGCGGTGCTGGAAGAAACAGGGGAGGAAGAGGCAGGAGGGAGAACAGGCTGACTAGGGGGCCCCTCACCCTGCAGTGGCTGCCCCGGAGACCAGGGCTGTTTACTGGCCGGCCGGCCGGGCGCAGGAGACAGATGGAGCGGAGTTAACTGAGGGGGTTGGGGAGCAGAGGAAGTTACAGGAGAAGGAGACCTGTGCGGAGGGGGTTCGTCTGCAGGGTTAAAATTATCAGAAGTAGAGGGTAGTGGAGGCAGTGAGGATGAAGGGGGTTTGGATGCAAGGACAACCTGGGAAGGAGAGCAGGTGAGACAGAGAGAGGGATTTTGAGCAAGTAGGCGGAAAGCCTCCACATATGGAATCTCTTTCCACTTTCTCAGGCGCTGGCAGTAGTTAAGAAGGTTCTGGAGAATGTCGGGATCAAGTATGCCCTCAGGGGGCCACTTATTTTGGTTATCTAGGGGATAATAAGGCCAATCTTGTGTACAAAATTTATTGAGGAGTTTGGGTTTGATGTCAGGCTTGAGGGGATGGGGTGGTAAGGTTGTTTAAGAGACATTGTAAGGGTGAATCACCCCGGAGGGAGGAGGCAGAAGTTCCCATTCCGAAGAGGATTAGAGAGGGAGAGAGGGAGAAGGTTTAAAAGGAGGATAGAATGAGCCCTCTGGCCGGATGAGAAGAACAGAACTCAGAGGGCGTCCCCAATGAGTCATGCCGTTCCCAGGAGGTGGGTTCAAGGATGAACCCAGGAGGGAAGGGGGTGTAGGTCGTCACCTAGACCCTTGCTTCCCAGAGGCAACTGTGTCGGAAGCCAGAGGGACCTAGCGCGCTAGGGTTTACTGGACGGCGGGGGTCCTGGACCCGGTAGGAGGAAGGTTAGATGGGTTCAAGGATGAACCCAGGGAGGAGGAAGGTTAAAAGGAGTGAGAGAAAGAGAGAGGGAGGAATGGGAGGTTCAGCCTCTGGGGCCGGGAACGTGTCAATGCTGGGGACAGGGAATGTGATTAGGGTGAAGGTTTAAATAATCTACAAGCCTGACAAAAGGAAAAGGGGGCTTACCTAACGGATGAGCCGGTGGTGGGTGAAGGAAGCCAGAGCCGGTGGTGGGTGAAGGAAGCCAGAGCCGGAGAAAACAGACGGGGGCGGACCGTCAATCCCGAGGGGTTGCGGAGGAGTCCGAGGAGGTCCGAGGAAGGAGTCCCCTGGCGCAGGGTGAACTCTTTCCCTGGTTTCGGCACCAAATGAAGGGACACATGGATGAAGGAAGCACGCGAGACCCGGGCTAACAGTTTGCCAGAGAAGTTCCGCTTTATTCAAGGACTGCGTGTATATTTATAGGGTGCTGTGCTCCGGGGCGGGAGAGAGAGTGGATGGGGCGGTAACTGATTGGATGGGGCTGGGCAGGAGGTGAGCCTTGACCTGTGACTGGCTGAGGTTTGGCGCAGGTGGGCTTGGGTGTTGGCGCCAGTGGGCTTGTTTACTGCGGAGAAGAACCAGGAAGGGCGCCATATTGCCAGGGTGTGTCCCTGTTCAGGCGCCCATGGGGTCCCTACAGTGCTCGCTGCCCGGGGCTTAGTGTGAGGGAAGGGTGGGCCCCTGTGTGAAGTCTTCGTTCCCTCTGGGCGACTTGTTGGAGGATCCTTGGAGACGGATCTGTGTTTTCTTTGGTTCTGTGCAAAGAACCGGTGAATGCCTTGAGATGCTCCTGGTCTGCCCGAGCAGACACATTTACTCAGTCACAATACCATGGGGTGACAGGAGTGCCATGGGAACGTCAGAGCAGAGGGAGTCGCCCCCTTTTTCTGTTTCAGCCCTGACTTAGGAATTTTCAAGGAATCTCTGTTGTCAAGATGAAATTGAGACGATGAGGAAGTAAGGAAGACCGAGAGAGTCAGGTAGTGCCCAGGAAGTTTTCTGTCACCCTAGGCTCTCCTCTCATCAGAGGCCATGTCTTAGAATAGGAAATCCTGGACAGAGAAAGTGCACATGGTCACTACCATGCTTTCCCCTGGTGCCAGGCCCTTCCATAGCTGACGCAGCCAAGGCATCTTCCAGAGGCCGACTGACAAAGGAAGTGCGGAGGGCGGCTCTGGCTTGCGGCTGGCCGACTGTGTGCTGGAGGTGTGGGGCTCCAGGGCTAGCGGCCATGGTTGAGAAGGTACAGTCATTGAGAAGGTACAGAGAAGATGCAGGCTTTCTGTGTTCCTTCAAAAAGGAGAAAAAGGCTTAAGTGTAGTCAGTTTTTTAGGAGAGGACATTGAAGTATGTTGGCGTGAGAATGACAGATGGCTCACACTGGCTCCTTGGGTGTACGTTCAGAGGCCCAGCGGTCACTGTGATGGTGCATGGCCATCCCTGCAGGCTGACCCACTGCTGCGAGGAGCCCCGTGCAGATCAGTAACGGGGTGTTTTATAGATTTTGCCTCTCCGATTCAATTAATCATTTTTGTGGTTTTTTCCCTTACATCAGGTTTCCTTAGGAAATAAAGAAAGAAGCAAAGGAGTGTTCTACAAAGCTCTCCAGAATTGTCCTTGGGCAAAGGTATGTTTTTTTTTTTCCCCTTTTTTTTTGTCTTTTTTCGTGTCCGGCAACGGATCGCAACCCTCAGTGTCGCACCCGTACCGGACCGGGACCGGGAACGGGATCGCAACCCTCAGTGTTGCCCCCATGCCTCGCTCAGCCAGTGAGCGGGAACCGGTCTGTATGTGGGATCTGAACCCTCGGCGGGAGCGCTGCCGCGCTCCCAAGTGGCGCACTGTAGCAGTGCACCACCGGGCCGGCCCAAAGGTATGTTTTAAAGACTGTGGCATCTTCGGATTCCCGGGGACCTTCCCAACAGGCCTCAGTCTAGCCAGTGTTTGCCTGGCCCGCCCCTGTGTCATCGGGGATGCTCAGCACTGTGGATGCCAGTGCCCTGCCCCAAGGCACATGCAGGTCCTTTTCCTAGTAGAACTGTCCCCTGTGCAGTCAGAGCACTATGGACATGCTTTTCCTTTCCCTGCGCTGGAGCTGGCGTGGCCTGGGATTGTGGCTGTAGGTAGCTGGCTTCCCAGCATTTGCTCAGAGTTCAGTCCAGATGCTGAGAGAGTTGGGATCCCTGTACTAACTCTGTCTGCAGAGCCCAGGTCAGGAGACATTCAGAAATCAAGTTGATGGTGACTGCAGTGTCTGCCAACAGCTTCTGCCCCCATGTTTGAAAGTAGTAGCTCACTGGAGTTCCCTCACTTTCACTCGGCTTTTGTGAGCTCGGTGGCCTCCCTGAGCAAGCTGAGGTGCTTCTGAGTTAGGAAAGCCGAGCAAAGGGGCTGCGGGCTGTGGAGGGGACGGGGCGGGGGGGGGCAGGCTTGCTGGGCACCTGAGCTCTTCCCCGCTGACAGGAAGTGGCGGGCTGACCAGGGAGGGGCTCTCTCCCTGCCTCCAGGTGTTGTACATGGACGCTGTGGAGTACTTCCCTGATGAGATGCAGGAGGTCGTGGATCTGATGACCGAGAAGGAGCTCCGGGTGCGCCTGCCGCTGGAGGAGCTGGAGCTGCTGCTTGAGGACTAGAGCCCGGGAGGGAGGGGTTCGCAGCCAAAGCGCCTGCCCTGTCATAGCCGGGAGGGGTCCAAGCGAAGGCGTGTATTGAGAGACCTGCTTCTGAACTGTTCCTTCTTGGTAATTTGTGTCTGGGTTGTCAGTCTCTCACATCAGACACATTTTTTGGATGTGTAAATGACACAAAAGCTATTGATTTACATATTATATATGTGAATATGTGTACGTGTGTATGAAGAATCATGCCGAATGGTAATTAAACCGCGTATGGTTACGGTGTGTGCGAATTCTTGTTCATTCTGCCCTTTGCCCATCCAGCACCAGCCCCACCACGGCGATTGTGTCCCTTGGGTGGCAGCCTTGGGGTCCGGCCCAGCCCCCTCTGAGAGAGTTTGGACGTACAGGTCTGGCTACTCAACGTCAGGAGCTCCTCCCTGGGCTGATTAGTAGGAGAGCAGACTTCGCCTGTATCTCCAGACCAACCCAGCCAAGAGGCCTTTCGCCCTTGTCCTGGCCCGTGTCAGTGCATAGGAAGTTTCTCACCATCCCCTATGCCCATAGATCAGCAGCATCCCCTGGCAGCTTGTGAGGAGCGAGACCCTCAGCCTGCCCCAGCCCAGCTGAGTCTGAATCCGCTCTCTGACCTAGCCCAGGTGATATTGGGCGTGGTACAGTGTGGAAGGCACTGCCCAGGGCATGAGCATCCCTCTGCTAGGTGACGACTGCCATCTCAGAGACATCTCAGAGAAGAGTGGGGACTGGGGCCAACTCGACCCACTTGCAGGCTGCATGGAGGTGCTCCCTCTTTCCTGAGCACCAGCACTGCCAAGACTGGCCACGCTCTGGTTTTGATTTCTGAGGAGGGCTATGAACAGAGAGAAATGTACGCTTGCACCTTCAGACTGTTTCTGCTTCTGCAGGGATGTTTTGGTGTCTTGCTGTCTTTTTCCCTATTAACATCTGGCTGAGAGGAACTGCTTTCTTACCTTCCCCGAGCTCCAGTGCTGTAGAAGGTAATTTTGGCTAGAAAGTGGTAGACATGGGTTGGAAAAAGGGCAGGACCATGTAGCTAGAGCACTTTCTAGGGTGATATCTCAGAACACCAAAGGCACTTGGCCAGCCTGACCTGGTGACCACCCTTGCCAGCCTGACCTGGTGACCACCCTCACCCGCCTCTCCCTAGATCCTGAGCTGCAGGCGGCTGTGGGCAGAAGCCCACCCAGGTGTTCCTTAGCGATGGAGCCGGGCTGGACGCTCCCTTTGATGCCTTTCCACAGAAGTAGGCAGAACTTCAGGACGGTGAGAGCTCAACCCTGAAGGGGACTCACCCTCAATATCTTACTGGGGCTTGAAGCTGGAAAAAGCCAAATTCCTGGCCGCCCGCAAAGGCAGAGCTTTGCCACCCCCACCTTGTAGACCCCATTGGGGACATGAAGTAGGAAGCCTAGGACCAAGCTGTGTTTCCCGTGATAGCAGCTGCTGTCTCAGTCCGCATCCAATGCCTGTGTATATTCTCATTTGGTTCAGAATTTAGCAGAGTGGCCTGGGATTAACTGGTCCCCTCAAACTGCAATGGCAGCCTGTCCCTTGGGAACGTGGAATGGATTGTACAAACGGGCAGCGAACCACCTGAGAGATGATAAAACCACTTCTGAAACTGATCATTAGTGCATTATGTGCTGCGTGCGAAGAGGTTTAAAAAAAATGAAAGATTCCCTATGGGTACATGTTTTATAGGAAAAAGGATGGCGAGATGATTATTTTTATGTTTTTTTTTTTTTTAAACCCTGTTTGTTAAACATGCAAGTCTGGAAAGATGATTAGGGTCCTTCCAAGTCAACCTGGTGGACTGAGAAGGGGTTTTCTAGCTCATTCATGTCAGTGAGACACATGCTCTTGCGTTTCATCAGGAAGCTATTTCCCAGGAGGAGCTGCCGTCACAACAGCCCATACGGGTCGGCCCCATCTTGGTTTGGGACAATGTTTTTTCTCCGGAATGAAGCAGTGCCAATGGATCTGGCACAAAGATCACTGGGCCTGTGGGAAGAGCTGCCGGGTGGCTTCTGTGCTGGGTCCCAGGTAAGAAGAGGCAGTAGCTCTGGTGGCTGTCACTTATAAGACACATGCATTCATTCACTATTTTGCGTTAGAGAAGTGAAGACATGGTGATCCCTGGGAAAGACCGTGTGCCTGTTGCAGAGGGAGTGATGAGAGAGTTCGCCGTGAGTGGTTCACTGAGGAAGGGCTTCTAAGAAGCAGTGGTTCCTCCACAGGCACACGGCTGTCCCTGCCCTGCTCACCAGGTACAAGAAGCTGGAAGAAGTTGCCCTTTGAGAACCCTATTGTTTCCCAGGCCCTTCATCCTTTTATCTCCAGCGCCTGGCACTGTAGGCCTTGGTGATCATCTGTAGAAACAGTGATTTCAGCATTATTCAACAAGCAAACTGGGGAGAGAGCTGGGATGGGGCGTGGGTGTGGTCAGCCTGTTACCCTGCTGCAGCCCCTCTCACCCCCTGCTCCCCCCAGCACTGGCATTTGTCTTCGCTGCTTTTGTAGAATTGACACAAGGGAGACTATCCCTATGGATAGAGGTAAGGGCTCAGATATTACCAAGGAGGAAAAGGAAATACTGATGGGCTGTTTTTTTTTTAAATCTCAAACTTACAGAAAAGTTCCCATTACATTACAAAGAACTAGTTTCCCTGAACCACTTGAGAGTTGCTGACAGTCTCCTACACAAGCATGATACAGACGTGACACAGGAAATGAGTGTGGATGCGGTACTGCATCTCATCTTCAGGGCCTGTCCAAAGCGTCACTGATGGTTCTGATAATGCCCGCTCTAGGAACAGGACCCAGTTTAGGACCATGAGGTGCACTTGGTTGTCATGTCTCTTTGTTCTGTCTGGAAGCTTTAACTTGACTTTCATGTTTGGCAATTTTTGAATTGTCCTGAATTTGTAGGATGTACCTCAGTTTGTGTGTGCCCAGGGTTCAGGCTAAGCATCTTTGCCCGGAGTATCTTGTGACACCTCCTGGGTGACGCATACTTTCAAGGTGCCCATTACTGACAATGTCTATTTTGATCACTTCGTTAAGATAGTGTCTGCTGGGCTTCTCCAATATGAAGTTGCTCTTTTCCTTTCAAATTGATAAGTATTTTGTGGGGAAACTCTAAATACCCCATTCCTCATCAAACCTTACATCCATTAATATACGTTAGTATGAGCCCATAGCTTTCTACTTTGTTTAAAGGACTCTATTCGACTAATATTGTTAATTATTTTGATGCTCAAATTGTCCCAGACTTGGCCAGTGGAAGCCCCTCAAGCAGGCATCTATGTCCTTTTGACATGTCCCTATCATTCTTTGAGCATTCCCTTGCTTTCTGGTTTACATCAGGTTCATCTTGGACTTTCCCTGCCTAGCTCTGGAATCAGTCCTGGTGCCTTTAAGTACAGAATGACATTTAGAAGCAAAGATCTGGGTCTAGGTGTGCTCGATGAACTTGGGGTGTCACCGTTCCCAGGTGTTTTCGGTGGGCAGAGTTCATCCTCATTTTCTTCCTTCGTGTCTGTAATCCCCTTCTCAGGTAGTTGAAACCTGGCTTCTGCCATCCTTACGATGTTTACTTACCTGACTGCCTCCATGCTATGGATTAAATATGTCCCCCAAAAGTTCATGTGTTGGAAACTTGACCCCCACTGTGATAGTGGAGGGTGGGAAATCCAACTATGGTAGACGAAAGGTGGGGATTTGAGAGGTGATTGGATCAGAGGACTGTGCTCTCATGAATGGATTAATCTATTCATGTAATGAGTTATCATGGGCGTGAGTCTGATGGCTTTATAAAGAGAGTGAGCAAGCAGGTTAGCTGTCTTGCTCAAGCCACTCTGTAGCCATGTGATACCGTGTTGCCACGGGACCCTGTGGGGTTCCCATGCAGAAGGCCCTCACTAGATGTGTTCCTTGGACTTCGGATTTACCAGCTGCCCAAAGGTAAGAAATAAATTTCATTTCTTTATAAATTACCTAGTTCCAGGTATTCTGTTATAAGCAACAGAAATGGACTAATCCACCCCGAATGTAACCACCCTCCCTCCTCTGCCACCATCCAGTCCCACTCGGATGCCTTCCTCAGCTGCTTGGCTCCAGGACTCCACATCAGTCCGCCCAAGCTGACGCCCATGTTGGGCACCCCCTTCCCCTGCATGTTCACTCTTGTCACTCTTATGTGGGCTCCAACACCCCACATGGATGCCATCCTCCCCCTGCTCCTCCACATGGACACCCTTTCACCCTGCTAGGGCTGACACTCCACTTCCCCACAAGTAAGTCATTGTCCTCATCTTGCACCGGGCCACCCACGTGTACAGAATGTCCTCTGTGGCAGGCAGAATGGCCCCCCCAAAGATGTCCACACCCTAAGCCCTGGAACCTGTGACTATGTTACATGGCAAAAGAAACTTTGCAGATGGAAATTAAGATTGCAGACCTTAAAACAGGGAGGTTATCTTGGATTATCTGGGTGGATCCAATGTAATCACAAGGGTCCTTGAAAGTGGAATAAGATGGCAGAAGAGTCAGAGAAATGTAAAGATGGAAGAAAAAGCAGGAGAGATTCAGAACTTAAGAGGGACCTGACCTGCTGTTGCTGGCTTTGAGGATGGGGGAGGCCATGAGCCAAGGAAAAAGGGTGGCCTGTACAAACTGCGAAAGGCCCTCAGCTGCCAGCCGGCAAGGAAACACCTACCTCAGTCCTACAACTGCAAGGAAACTTAATTCTGCCAACGACCCCCACGAGCAAGGTAAATGCCCCTAGAGCCTCCAGAAAGGAACATAGGCCTGCCAACACCACGATTCTAGCCTGGTGAGACCAGTGTTGGACTTCTGACCTATAGAACTGAGATAAATTTGTGGTGTTTTAAGTTAAATCTGTGGCAACTTGTTATGGTGGTAACAGAAAACTAATACACCCTCCTCACCCAACGTGGCTTCAACAACACATGCCAGGCCACCCTGCCAAGTGGAACTTCACCTTGATCTGTCCCACCTAATGGCTTTAGGACTTATTTGTTCAGAAAGGGAGACGTGAAGGAAATAGATGGAGAAAGGGAAGGGCAGGGGAAGCTGACATGTTTTTGAACACTCTAGAAGGGGATGAGATTTCTGAACCCAAGAACAAGGGGAGGCAGGGCAGGTATGAGATTCTTCAGTCCTGACCTTTCAAGATTTCTTTTAGGAACCCTCAGTCTCCTGGGAACACCAATACTTATTTCCTACCCCTAGACTACTGAGAACCTCCATGGTCCACAGAACTTTACAAAGGGAAAAGCTGTATTTCCTTTTATTTGGAAGCAAAAACCACATTAACTCAGCCTTTATTTAAACAAAGATTATTGGCACTATGATTTCAATGTCCCCTCCAAAACTTATGTTGAAATTTAACTGCAATCTGTCAGAGGTGGGGCCATTAAGAAGTGATTAGGCCATTAGGCTCCACCCTCATGAATGGATTGTTACTATGGGAGCAGGTTCATCATGTCAAGAGTAGGTTGTTGTAAAAGTGAGTTCAGCCCTCTCTTCCCCTTCTGCGTTCAGCCAGGGGATGATGCAGCACAAAGGCCCTCACCAGAGGCTGCTGCCATACTCTTGGACTTCCCAGCCTCCAGAACATGAGCCAAGTAAATTTCTGTTCATTATGATCACCCAGTCTGTGGGATTCCGTAATAGCAACAAAAAATGGTCTATGATAGCTGGCCATGTGGCTATGATCCTTTCTGCCCCAATTACTGTGTGCCATCAGCTTTGGGGGCATATGGGGGTGACCACAGGTATGGAGTCAGCACTCCTGTGACTGCCAGCCTGAGGTTTCCTGCCCAGAAGCTTCCCTAAAGCTGAATCCACCCACTTGGTGCTGCTGAGCAATAGGTGTGGAGACTCCAGAAACACGAATGAATTGGTCTGTGAAAAAGCACGCTTTATTGAGAGGCAGAATGCTGCAGAGTGACCACATCATACTCTGAAAGATATACAGGATGTTTAGCTAATAAAAATCAACTGGAACATGGATTCCTCTGGGCAACTTCCCCCACCTCTCGGGGGTTGGGAAAACTCTCAGCCATTTTTCTGAACGCAACTGTGGTTCACTAGAGATACAGCCCCTCAGGGGTGCCTTCTTGTTTTTTATAAAGAACATTTTCCTTAGATTTTTTGAAGTCTTCATTAGTTACTTTCATTCTACGTTCTCTCAAGGCCATCAGACCAGCTTCTGTACAAATTGCCTATAAGAAAGCACAGTATGTTCAGCAAGTGGAATACTTATATTTATTCTAACAAGCAATTCAGAGTACTATCTTGAAATAGGTATAAGACACTCAGACTAAAACAAGAATTGCTTATTTGGGAATATATTAGATTTTTAAAATGTATTAAGCATTCTAATTATTTTCTGAAAGGATCTGAGGTAGCTTAAACTGGGAGTAACTACAACTAAGAAAGAAGACTGACCAGAGGAATCAAGGCTGTGAGTTCTAGGTTTGGCTCAGGTTCTAATGAGCTGTGTGGCTTGGCAGGTCAGTAAATTCTTCTAGCTCCTTTTGTTAAAGGGAAGAAAACTGCTAGGAAATAGATAATATTATGCCCTGAAATGTAGAGCCAATTGAGAGTATAATGTCCATCATTTACCTAGTTATAAGAATGTATTCTGGTTAGATACTGTAAGCTGAAGTATAGTTTTTATTCTAATATATTTATTTTCTCATAATTACTTTCTAAAGTAAAACAAGAACCCAGGCAACATGATGTGTTAAAAACACAATCCTGGCACTGCAGTTTCTATGTTGCTACGGCCATCAGATTACTTCAGATGGTTTGGCAGAGAAGTAGAGAGAGAGAGAACGCAAATGGTAAAATGTTAACAATTGGTAAATCTAGGTGATGGGTTTAAGGGCATTCATTGTACTGTTTTGCAACTTTTCCTGAAGGTAGGCTTCGTGCAGGTGGTAACCTGGAGAGGCACTACATGTGCCATCCCTGCCTAACTATGACACTTATGCCTGATGAAAATCCAGATCTTCTCAGGGTAAGCAGGTGGCAGGGATTCACATTCAATGCTGCCAGGCCTTGAAATTCTGGTCAGCTGGGAAGAAATATCCTAACTCATGTACATTTTTGATAAAACCAAGAGGTACAATCTGGTACAACCTATGAGAATGCAAATTGGGAATATGAATACAGAGGGTGCTGGCCCCCTGCTCTGCAGCATTGCAGCTCTCAGGGGAGTTTTCCCAGCAGACAGTCTCCCCCTGACCTAGGACTGAGTGGTGATGTCTACCTAGCAGATGAGGCAAGCTTAGTGCCAGTAACTCATTCTTGTGGCTACAAGGGATTTAGGATCATTTACTTCATAAAATGAATCTACCATTTGGATGTAACAGTAAACCAACATGATTACAACGTTAAAACCCAGACATCCACACATCCAGCCTAATCATCCCTCCAAGAGCATGTGCTGACTTTCCTGATTGATGGGCCGACCTGGCCTAGGTTCTCACCTTGATGTCGGCACCTGAGAGGTCATCTTTAGCCATGATCAAGTCATCCAGGGTCACGTCATCGGCCAATGTCATCCTGCTGGTGTGAATCTGAAAGATGCGCTTCTTAGTCTTTTCATCGGGCAGGGGGAACTCGATCTTCCTGTCAATGCGGCCTGCAGGTATAAACAGTTTTCAGTCAGACCCCCATCCAGACCCAGGCTCTGCTCATTTAAAAGAAATCCTCTCTGCTTTAGGACCTTCAGATATAAATGAAAGGAGCATTCTTTTTTTTTTTTTCCCTTTTTTGTCTTTTTTTCGTGACCGGTAACAGGATCGCAACCCTCAGTGTCGCACCCGTACCGCGACCAGCAACGGGATCGCAACCCTCGGTGTTGTGCCCGCACCGCGCTCAACCAGTGAGCAGACCCGTCTCTGTATGGGATGCGAACCCTTGGCAGGAGCGCCGCCGCACTCCCAAGCACCGCACTCTGAAAGGAGCATTCTTCAGTAACATATTTAGTGAAAGAGGACAGACCTGTTTGATTAAAAACATTACAAAAGATAGCAAAGAACTTAGTGCTTTTTCTAGTGCTACCTGAATGTAGAGAATAAACCCTAGCTATCACAAGAATTACTTCTTCAGGAAAAAGAAGCAAGCTTTTGAGGCTAAAAGGAATATTATGGGAAAGAAAAGGTCAAGACATAAGACTGGAATTCAAAGGCCCAAGCTGCATGCTCTTACTTAACTATAATTGCAAGGGAAAATATTTTGGGTAAAGTACTTTAAAGGCATTACAGTATTTGCGTTTATATATATCATTTTATAATCCCCCCAAAGCACACTTAAAACACAAATATATATATACATAAACATATTACTACTACATGATGAAACAAAAGCAAATTTAACCTGGTCTTATAAGTGCTGGATCCAAAGTTTCTATTCTGTTTGTGGCCATGATAACTTTCACGTCTCCCCTTGAATCAAAGCCATCCAACTGGTTTAACAGTTCCAACATTGTTCGCTGAATTTCTCTCTCACCACCAGAATTTGAGTCATATCTTTGGAAAAGAAGAGAAGGAATGAAGAACCTATTCTCCTGCTAAAGGGGAATTACAGCAAATACCTCATCAAGACAAAACACCTCAATGTTCTTTTCTCAAACTAAATGTCACTCCTTCAATTATTCGAGGAAGAAAATCAGCACCCCTACTTTAGTCTGAATGTGTCCCCCAAAATTTATGTCTTGAAACTTAATCCCCATTGTGGTGGGATTAAAAAGTGGGGCCTTCTGGAAAGTGATTAAGTCACGAGGGCCCCACCATCGTGAATGGAGTAGTGCCTTGTAAAAGAGCTGGAGGGATCTAGCTTAGACCCTTTTTGCTCTTCCACTCTTCTGCCATGTGAGGACACAGCATTCACCCTTTTTTGCACTTCTGGAGGACGCAGCCACAAGACAATATCTCGGAAGCAGAGAGCAGCCCTCAGACACCAATGTTAGTGCCTTGACCTTGGACATCCTAGATTCCAGAACAATAAGAAAATAAATTTCTGTTTTTTATAAATTACCCAGTCTCTGGTATTTTGTTACAGCAGCACAAACAAAGACACCCCCCATCAGCCAAGTTACAGATGACATTTCTTTGTAGCAGTTTCTATGCCTGAAACTATCATTTATTCTGTCTCCATGTTTGGTGTCTGATCCCCCAATTTGACAGTGAGCTCCTTGAGGGCAGAGACTGTCATGTTCCTAGCTATGTCACTATAGTCCAGATGGTTCTGGCTCAGGGCAAGTGCTCAAGACAGGGTTATTCACAACTGACCAATCTCCAGACACTCATAGCTCCTGGGTAGTTGTCACCAGCCCTGGGGAGAGCAGAGCCTAAAGCATCCACAGAGGGTTGTGTACAGCAAGAACTGTGGCCACTTCGCACAACGGTTGTTCACTCTGAGAGGAGCTGAGGTTTTGCCTCTAAACAATGCAAAATACGTAAGAGGAAGTCTACCTTTTTGTCCCAATAGCATCAATTTCATCAATAAACACGATGGATGGTGCATGTTCTTCAGCAACTCGAAACAATTCCCGTACAAGTTTGGGCCCATCACCTAGGTACTTCTGAATAAGTTCAGAGCCAACAACTCTCAAGAACGTGGCTGAGGTTTGGTTTGCTACTGCTTTGGCTAACAAGGTTTTACCTGTGCCAGATGGACCATACATTTTAGATTAAAAAAAAAAAAAAGGAAAAAACACTCAAGTGCTGTTTTAACTTAAAAACTCTATTGTTATCACCTTAAACAGACACCAAGCATGTGCAGGCCCCAGTGATGCAAAGGCATGCCACCATTCAGGTGTCTTGACAATCTGTTCTAAGTAGGTAAAAGGAAATTCAGAAAAATCTACTAACATGTTTTGATTATTTTCTTAAATTCATCATGATAATGTCAAAAAATACTTTTTACTTGGTTATTTTCAAACCTTGACCCAAAGTTTCCACTGAAGAATTATAAACTATAATTACCTGCAGGAAGACTTACTCTGTACCAGCAATGAAATAAGTCTCATTTTTTCTCTGGGTCAGCCTTTCTTGGGCACCTTCAAAGGTGCATATAGTATTAACCTGACCTATCCAACTCAGGATTAGAGAACCAAACTAAACTCCTACGAAACTATCACTGATGAATAAAAAGGTCTGGGAATCCTAGGTTTGACCCAAAGGAGGCATAGTAAGTGTTCCCGAGAGCCCGGTGCCAGCACAAGAATAGCTGCTGGATGGGCTTGCTGCTGCCTCAGACAACTGAGACAGGACCGGCTCCTGGTGAAGCCCACATAGTGAGCTGCAGCAAGCTCGGGAGAATTCTCAATCTGCGGCCCACCCTTCTGAAGAAGTTCCTCACCAATCTCAAGAGCGAGCTCAAACAACATTTCCAATACTACTCTATTTCCTGATATTTCTCTTTTGGGTCAAAACCAAGAGTCTGCACCCAATCTGAGAACTTTAGAGCTAGAAGACCTTGGCCCCACTGATGGTGAGTGAGGACATGGGCAAAGGTTGGGTAGCTGCCTCAGGACACAGAGGCACAATTTCCTGAGCTGTAAGATGAGGAGCTGCTCTTCTAGCTCCAGGCCTCTGGGTACAGGTGTTGCCCAGTCCCTCCAGCATGGGCAACCCTCAGAACAGATATTTGCGGGAACACATTTTCAACTCTTTCAAGCAAATGACTGCTCTTTCTTTAGAATTTGCACAGCAACGAACTGCTAAGTCCTGGACCCTACAACTTCCTTAGGTCAACTTATGGCATAATGAACTATATATATACACATGTACTTTTATCTTCATTCATTTATTCATCCAACATTTATTTATTCAATACCAGTGGGCCAGGAAAACGAACCTGATCTGAACACCACAGAATAGCTTTTACAGCAGTAGTTCACCACCACAGCGTTGAGGCTTGGCCACCCTCCAATGTGAATCTTTGGGGCTGGAACCAGGCATCAGTATTTTTTATACCTTCCAAAATGATTCCAATGTACAGTCAAGGTTGAATGCTCACTTTAAACTAAGGAATCATGGTGGCCTCACTCAACAGTTAAGTAACACTTTGCCAGCAAAATGTTAAACACAGAGCATACCTGTGCCAGGTGGACCATACAGAATGACCCCCTTGGGGGGCTTTATACCCATCTCTTCATAATATTCAGGATGAGTGAGAGGAAGCTCCACAGATTCCTAGAGTAAACAAACACTCAGTAAAATGAAAGGCTTTCTTACTGAAATTATTAGCATAACTAATTGGCATCATGAGGAGATCCTGCTTTTGACAAAAATGAGTGAAAATCCCACTTCTTAAAGACAATGTCCTTGAATTCCATCAGCAAGGACATACTGAAGAAGACACCTGTCCTACCTGGGCTTCCAGCACCCATCCCATCTTCCTAACCACACCCAAGTTCCCTTTTACTTTCTAGTAGAAGTCAGCCTTGAGCAACATTTAAGCTCTTCCTGAGCTAAAGAGACTTAAGAAAGCTAAAGTTCACCCTTTTCAATCACACTACAGACAGGACGTGGAAAGATTTCCTGATTGCTCTTCCCACCTAGGGACATTACGGTTATTTTTCAACCATCTATGAAGTCACCAGTGGAGATCTGTGAAAACTCTGAATGACTTTCCTATAGATGAAAGAATATGCAGACAGCTGGCCCACAGCCATCCTGAATGACCACCTCCTCCCCCCTCCCGCAACCCTCAGGACCACTGCAGAGCTGGGATTATGTTCTAGACCCCACCACTGTGTGTGTGCAGGTTCATATGTTACCCACATACCACACTGGATATTTCCTCATATCCACAGCTGAAGCCAAAACAATTGGAAACATTATGTACTCACACAGACAATTCATTAAACATTATATGTAAAAACTATTACACTGCAGCAGGAAATATCATTCAATTTACTGTTATGTCTATTATCTAACTCAGTATTAACAAAAACAAAAAAACCACAATTGGCAAGCTGTGAATCAGTTACTGGTCTGATCAGTAGAGAAAAACAAATATGCAAAACAACTCCAAAGTACCCTAAATGGGACAGCAGTAAGAAACCAAAAGTCTAAGAACCCAGAGCTGGTTCCCAGTCATACCTTAATTTCCTGGATTTGGTTGTCCAACCCCCCAATATCAGCATAAGTCTCCTGGGGGGCCTTTTCCACCTTCATCACTGTGACCAGGGGATCCGTGTCATCCATCAGCACCCCAATCACCGCATGCACCTAACAGGGAATGTGAAGCTTTAACACAGGAACGTGAGTTTCACGTGATCTGTGTGTGACAAAGCAATGCTAATCACAGCATCTTTCTCCCTCTTAGGCATGCTCTGGCGATCCACTCACACGGGACCAGGGATAATCTAAAACAAAGGAGAAAGCACTCGCATGGACTTTCTGAGATGCTATCAACTCACTTTGTGGTTGAGCAGGACTGAGCAGCCTGGTTCCAACAGATCCTTGTCTACAAATGAAAGAATGCTGACATAGTGTTCTGAGCCCACAGATGTAGACACAATAGCATGATTGTCATCAATGATCTCTTCCAAGGTTCCTACTGACATTGGGGTCCCCCTCAGATCATCCACCTTTGATCTTTCCTCCTATATGAGAATATTCCAAGAAAGAAAAGCAGATGAGACCTAAAAAGTATATGATTCTGACAGTTCACTAGATTTACAAAAGGTAGCTAATGCTTCTAAGCCTGGACAGGTTGAACTACTTGAGTCTCACTTATTTATTTTTAGTTTTAAGTTCTAAATAGAATTCAATTTGTTTAAAAAAAAAAAAAAAACCCAAAAAACATTACAGTAACTTCTCAACTTACCTCTTGCTTTTCTTCTAATGGTTTCATTTGTTCCTGATTTCTAATGAATTCTTCCTCCATGAGAAGATAGTCTTTAATTCTCTCTAACTTCAATAATTTTAACCGGCACTGAGTGTGAGGTGTCACCAGTCCTGACCACCATTTTTAATCCATTCACTATGTGTAATTGAAAAATAATTTTATTATACTTGGAGCTTGAAGTTTGCTATTAAGGAAAAAATATTAAGATTTTAAAACAAGCTCATCTTAGTTAGATACACTCTGAAATTCAAAGCTTGGTAACTCCTAAATCAAGCGGTGCCTAAATGGAATGGAGTTTTGGTAGTTATAAGCAAGCATCTGAAAATGAAGATGAAGTTTACGACCAAATAGCTAGCATAAAATGACATATACTGACTGAGCAGTCTTTACATGCAAAGAAGAAAAAAGCCATTGACCCAAAAGATAGCTTGGTTTAGTTTTTTTCCCCCCAAGGTACTAAAACAAAGTTATATACGCTGCTCAGTCAGTATACACGTTGTATGCTAACTGTACACATTCTCATCTAGAATTTTAAAATATCAGGGATATTAACTGTCTTTGTCACATACATGGCAAATATTTTTTCCAAACTTTACTGTTTCTTTTGGCTTTGTTTTAAAGTCTCATGCCACAAAGGAATTTTACTGTTTGCATAGACAAATCTGTCAATCTTTTCTTTTATGGTTTCTGGGTTTCCCAACTTACTTCAAAAAGCCTCTTCTCCCCTAGGGTTAAATATATTCCTAAATTTTCATTCATTTATTTATTTATTTTCATGATAAGTATACCTGTAATTTACCTGGCAAAAGGCACAGAATCTAATTTTATTTTCTCTGGACAGAAAATAAAAAATGCCAGCCATTTATATTAAATAACCCATTCTATTCCCCACATAACTGTTACCTTTAGCAGTTACCTTTAACAATTAAATATCCATGTACCCTGACTTGTTTTTGGATTTCCTACTCTGTTCTTGTTACCTAACTGTCTCTGTACCAATACCATACTGATTCATTAAAGTAGATTATGGCTGGTTTTACTATCTGACTTCCTTTGTTCTTAACTGAGCTATATATATATATGTACAAATATATACATATATATGTGTATATGTTATACACATAATTATATAAATATAATATTGTATAAATATATACATAATTGTATAAATATATACATATATGTATATATTTTTTGGGGGGTGGCTGGCTGGTACAGGGATGCGAACCCTTGACCTTGGTGTTACAAAACCATGCTCTAACCAACTGAACTAGTCAGCCATCCCTTGAGTAATATTTTAAAAATTAGTTTATTTCTTCTTAGTTTTTTCTTCTCAGCAGGGAGGGACATTTTTAGATGGGGGTGGGGGAGATATTTGAGCTGAAGTACAGGGATGAGTAGCAGGCAGCCATGGGAAGGACTGGGGCAAGAACATTTTAAGTGGAGGAAAGAGCACAGGCAAAGGTCCTGATATGCAGAAAAGTTAAAGAACACGAGGCAGACAGTGTGACTGATGAGCAAGGGGGAGTGGCAGGGCTAAGGATGAAGAGGTGGGCTTCTCAGGTCACCTGGTTTGAGTTCTAGTCTACGTTCAGCAGGAAGTCATTGAAAAATTTTAAGTTCAGGTATTGCATGATCTGAATTTCAATATAGTGGCATTTCATTTCATGAAACAGGCATGTTTCTGAGTTATTCAAATTCAACCTGGGCTTTGTAATCTAAAACTATACTTTTAATACACTAGAGGACCTGACTATTTAAAGAAAATTAATGGGATTTTAAAACGTGAGCCACATATTATACTGTATTTTAAAACAAAGTATAACTTTTATGCCAACCTAGAGGACTGTCACACACAAGAGTTGGGGTTACAATCACAGAGGTAGAGCTCCAACCACCACCATCTCCTGTCTCACCTTTCAGACTCTAAGCTACATGCACAGAGATGGTTCCCCCTAGGGACTGGAAAGACAGCAAGGAGGAACCATGTCATTACCCAATGGCAGTTTGCTGGCAGCATCTGGTCCCTTTGTTTTCTTCTTCTTTTTCCCCACTCTAGTTGGTACAGGAGGTTCATATTTCTTCTTCTTGTCCTTGAGTTTTTAGAACAGCAGGGGGGAAAAAAAATCATATAGAAATCATGTTAAAACACAAGTTTACTTCTGTACCACCATCATCTATGTCCAGGTGGTACAATTTTCCTTATTTTTTAGGATGTTATTAAAAAGTGTCCTTTAAAAACTAGGTTTCATATTTCTGCAATTTTAATAAGGAAATGTAATTATAATAAGTAAATGTAAACTTTTTATAACACACATAAATAAGTGAGTTAAAATATTCCAATAAAATATGGAGAGGTCAAAATTAAGTTATATGCCAAAAGTTTGAGTAATTTGAGACAATTCTTCACACCTTAGGGTATTAAACACTAAAATTACAGGCAATTTAGCACTTCATAATGTTGTTGCTTTTACAAATTTAAAAATCATTACCTCACAAATATCTATTTGATGTCAATAACATTTTCTAAAACTTGAAACAGGTGTTGTTTTTGTAGGCCAGGCTACTTAGATAGTAGTAGTTAAACAACTACTAGATCATTTAGCTCTTTAAAAGTCAGGAATCCCTGAAGAACTTCTCCGCTGAGACCTAAGAGATGTCCGTAATTTGCTCACACCACAGTACATATCTGGTTTATTTACCTTGTCATCTTTCTTGCCACCTCCAGGACCATGACCACCACTCTGACTTTGACCCTGGGGAAAAAAAAATCAGACACAGATGTAAATTCAGAATATGATCACTCAAAAGAACATCCTTCTTACTGTCCTGTGATTCTAAAACACGAATGCTTCTCCCTCAATTTAACATTTCTGAACCCAAGATGTACCTTGCTGTCAATGTGTACATTTAGTGTGGTAGAACTTCCGTTTCCCCGAAAAGCTGTTTAATAGATTACTGTTGCACTTGGCAATTGACTGCATCTTAGAATCAAGAACAGCTCTATTAAGAAGTGGATATAACTAATGAAGCTGAGAGTCTAAGATCACCCTCTCTTGATGGGAAGGTATAGAGCTTGACATTCTTTAATATAAAACTGTCAGACTAGGGCTACCAAAAGTATATTTCACAGAATCACACTATGGAAGCTAAGTCATTTTACATACTCAACAATCATTTATCAATCATTTACTCCTCACTTACAATCACACCAAGATCCAGAAGATTTTCCTTTTAACAACAACTTATCCACTTCCCATCCCTAAAGCCTGAAGGCTCTCAGGCAGGTCTTTCTTCTCAACCAGAAAGGACTAATCACCTTCAGGTGTTAAGAACTTAGTGTATTAATGAGCTCAGTGGGATTTCAGATTTTAAAACAGACCCTTCAGTTATAGGACAATGCTTAACACAGAGCAATGTCTCAGAAACGGTGACATTTTAAGAATGAGTAATTTTTCTTTTATTAGTAATATGTATATTGTTACAAATCATACTTATTCTTTATGCCCCTTATCCAATCTCTCCCCATACCCCACTCCCACCACTGATAGCCCTAGATTTCTTCTCTCCCTCTGAAAGAGTCATGGTTACTCTGCTGATTTGTTGCCTGGATGATCTGTCCAATGCTGAAAGGTGTGTTCGGCTCCCCCAATATAATCATAGAGCAGATGCTTCTTCTGTCACTCTGGAATGGGCTTTGTGGAGAGAGACATCCTAGTCTTTTCTTTGGTCTCTCCTGGTGACTCTCCTTGTGTTACTGTACTCCAGTGGCAGGCGGACCATCTGTGTGCTGGTTGTGATGTCTAGCCACTTTCACAGCAGCCCTGGTTAGTGTGGTGGCTGTAGTGGGCCACCCACAAGGAGGTGATGTTTTTGGCATGCTCCTTGGCGCTGGTGGTGTGCCTGGGTGTGGGTGGGGTGTCCAGTCCCTGGCTCCAAGCCATGGAAAAATTAGTAATATTGAATTTACTGATTAGAGAGGCCCACTCAGCTCCCTCAAATCACTTCCACATAGGCACCTCTAAATACACTGACAGCTTTTATTATCAAGACAAAACAACTATATCATGGTTACCTAGAGGAGTTAATGTCAAATGTATTTCCCCAAATGCAAGATTCTCAAAACTTTGTGCTTTATTCTGAATATGGTAATTAGGGGCTCAGAGAGATTCTGTGTAATAGAATTAGTTATGCTGAAATAGGCTGTCCAATTATAGAGCTTTAGCAATTACTTATACCTGGTAAGGAAATGCGCTGATGACTAGGGTAGCTAATGTGTGTAGGAGGGTGCTTACTATATGCCCAATTCTGTACTAGCCATTTCCCCTTTATTATCTCATTAATTCAATACAATCCTCTGCTGATGACTAGGGTAGCTAATGTGTGTAGGAGGGTGCTTACCATATGCCCAATTCTGTACTAGCCATTTCCCCTTTATTATCTCATTAATTCAATACAATCCTCCAAGATAGGGTTCATTATTTGCACTTTATAGATGAGAAACTACAGCAAGCCTGAGAACATGGGCTGTGAAATTAGATGAATCCAAGTCTGAATTCTGGCTCCATTGCAAATAGGCTATGTGACCTTGGGTAACTCAGGTCACTTCCTTGAGCGCTAGTGTCCTTGACTGGAAAGTGGGGATGATACTAGCTCCTATCTGTTGTTGAAAATGAGATAACCCCTGTAAACCACTTAGCAGTCACATGACTTAAGTACTCACCAATATAACATTACTGGTGAATACAAAAGGGCAGGGTCAAGATTTTAACTGTCAGTCTGGTTACAAAATTTGGGTCTGAAACAGTCCAAACCATTCTTGTTCAGTTCTTTACTTTCTCATCTATCTCCCATATCCATTTCCCCACCTGTTTTTGTCCAGGCCATCACCTCTTACTTGAACTCTAGCGTACCAAATGAGATTACTGGGTCCAGTTTCCCCCTCACCAAACCAGCTATTTTACCTTCTAAAACAGACAGCTGACCCTTCAAAAACCTCCAACTGCTCCCTAGCATTTATGGCAGAATGTTGAAACTCCTTAGTTTGGCATGCCTGGCCCTTGCCAAACTGGCTACAACTGGCCAGGTTCATCTACCTTTTTCATGATCCTGCCAGCCTGGTCCCAATGGAGGACATTTTCCTGAGCAGATCCCACACTTCTTCAATCTCTGGTGCATTTTACATGTTTCTCGGTTTTAAATAACAAGCATACCAATCGCTGAGCCCTTAGCCAAGCAGTGTACTAAACATTCTTGGAGTATTATCCCATTTAATTCTTATAAACACTATGGGATTGGCACTATCATTACCCCTAACTTACAGATAGGGAAACCAAGGCCCAGAAAGGTTAAGTGTGCCTACTGTCACATAGCCTGTCAGAAACAGAACTAGGAATCACACTCAGGTCTGCGGGGTTTCTCTACTCCTCTAGAAAGGACTGACAGGCTTCGTGTTCTAGCACATCCACTTACTGTGTTGCATCTCCTCTTTAGCAAAATGAGAATAATAATAATGATGACCTCAAAGAATGTTGTGAGGAACAAATGAGAAAACGCTGGAAAAGCACCCGGCACATTCTTACTACTCCAAAGGCCCTTCAAGACCTCTGTGTGTGGTGTGGCCTTCACCCACACTGCGGAGGCCCCGGCCTTCCTGCCGTCGCTGGTTCAGGCTGAACACATTCCCCCCGCACGTCCTCTGCACCTGCTGCTCCTGCCCGGACCACGCTCCCCTCAGATACCTGCACGAGCCACTCCCTCACGTTAGGCCTCTGCTCAAATTCCGCCTCCTCAGAGAGACCTTCACCGAAACTCTATCAAAACCACCAGCCCTCCCCATCCTACCCCTTTCTATGACAGCCAGAGGACAACGGCCCCGCCACCCCAGCCCTACCCGCTCCCTCACATGTCACGTACTCCCTTCTCTGTTTACTGTCTGCCTTCTCCTCTACAATGTGAGCTCCATGAAGGCAGGGCCAGTCCTGCTCACCCCCTGCACCCTCAGTGCCGAGGACAGAGCCTGCCCCCGCCAGCAGGTGCTGGGTACGCAGCCATGTCACGCAAGCACGAGTGCGTGCCAGCTGTCTGCACGACGGACGCACCGCGGGCCCTCCCCTCCGAGCTCCGCCCGTCACAAAAGCGTCAGTCTTAAGGCTCCTTCAAGTGCCCCCCACTCCGGACTGCCGTCCACGGCTCCGCTGTCCCCTTCTCAGGGAACGAATCCCACCCTCTTCTGCAGTCCTAGCACCCTTCACCCGAGCGACTCACAAAGCACTCGTCCCGCTTCTTCGAGGAGGCGCCCGTAGAAACTCCCCGCCCGGGTCGGCGGAGGAGCAAAGCCAGCGACAGGACCGGTTCTGTCACCCACAGGACCGCCCGGGGGACCCTCCGCGCCAAACCCTGGCCCCAGGCACCCAGGGCAAGGCCCGCGGTGGACCTGAGCGTCGTCGCCGGGGACCTCCGCCCGCCGAGGTGGCTGGGCCGGCGGCGAGGCAGAGGGCGGGCCCCGCTCCTCGGGCAGCCGCCTCGCTCTCTCGACTCGGGCCGCTCCGACCTCTCGCACCCTGACTACCGCCGAAACCCTTAGTCACTCACCATCTTGCCCCGGCCCCTCGAGCTGCCGCTCCCGGAAGTGCCCTCACCACGGCTGCCCGTCCCGAGCGGAAGTTGTTGACGGACGCTACGGGAGCCGATAGGAGCCAAATCCTGCAGGGACGACCCGCTCCGCGGGTTTGTGCGGACGGATCGGGGCAACCGAGTCGCTTACAAGAACGGTGTGAGCCTTATCGATATCTTACTTGAAAACAATTTTTAAACAGCCGTTATTAGGCTTTTGTTAACAATTTAAGACTGACCTCGGCTGTTAAAGAACTAGGACAATTGTCAAAATGCGAAACATTTAAATTATACAAAAATTATCGCTGGGGAGAACTTGACTTACTGTCCAAGGACAGGAATGACATCTGGAAGTGCGAAGTCGGTGTGTATATTCGAGCAAACATTTAAGGTCTTAGTGGTCTCTGGAATTACCCTGCTCACCTCAGCCGAGTATCTCTTTGTTTAATGAGATGTGTGCACCTGTTTTTTTCTGATGACCTGTGATTTGTGTTGATGTCACATGTTGTCTTCAGATTCCTCGTCTTGAACTTAGATCTAAAGCTCGTCATGTGGACTCCCCAGTCGGGGAGCGCCCTGCCTTAGAGAGGGGGGCAGGACAAGGTGAAGGTGGGAGATGCTGGGGGCCCAGGAGTAGCTCTTGTCTTTTTTACATGTGGAAGTGATTTCTTTTTCTTTTTTTGTAATTTGCCTAGCCTCCGTTTAGAACATGCAGGGATTTAAACACAATATGGAATTTCATACTTTGCCAACAATGTATTAAACTACCAAAGCGAGGGACTGAAAATACCTGGATGAGTCCTCAAAACTCCATAAACACATAGGTTTGGTCCTGGCCTTTTTATTAGTGGTTAGTGAAATCACACATCAAGTATCTGCACCCCAGTGAAAGTGCCCACTAGGTTACTCACAAGTAACCAAAAGGAGTAGGTATAAGGGGCACCAACCGGGTAGCTCATCACGCCTTGCTCCACCTCACCCCCACGGAACACAGCAGAGATGAAAATTAAGCAACGAACGAAAGTTTGACTAAACTACACTGACCTAGGATTGGTAAATTTCGTGCCAGCCATCGTGGTCATATGCTTAATCCAACAAATAGAGCTCGGTGTAAAGCGTGTTTAAGAGTACAAACAACAAATAAAGTTAAACCATGCCCAAACTGTAAAAAGCCATAGCCAAGGACAAAGCAAACCACGAAAGTGACTTTACAACAGTCTGAACACAGGACAGCTGGGGCCCAAACTGGGATTAGACACCCCACTGTGCTCAGCCATAAACCCAAGTAGCCAGCTAAACAAAGCTGTTCACCAGAGCACTACCAGCAACAGCCCAAAACTCAAAGGCCTTGGTGTTGCTTCACATCCCTCTAGAGGAGTCTGTTCTGTAATCGATGAACCCCGATATACCTCACCATCTTTTGCCAACTCGGTATATCGCCATCTTCAGCAAACCCTTTCAAGGCACAAAAAGTAAATGCAAGTATTTACATAAAAATGTTAGGTCAAGGTGTAGCCTATGAGATGGGAAGAAACGGACTTCATTTTCCGGCCAGAACAACCCACCCATGACAACCCCTATGAAAACTAGAACCCAAAGGAGGATTGAGCAGTAAATTAAGAATAGAGAGCTTAATTGAAAAAGGGCATGAAGCATGCACACACCACCTGTCACCCTCCTCAAATACCACTACAAATAAAATTTCTACCAAAATAGTCGCCAACAAACTTAGAGGAGATAAGTTGTAACGAGGTAAGTGTACTAGAAAGTGTACCTGGACACACCAAAGTGTAGCTTAATCTAAAGCATCTGGCCTGCGCCCAGGAGATTTCACACCAATTGACCACTTCGAACCAACTCTAGCCCAAACAACCCAAACACGAAAAAAGAATTTAACCTTAAACCAAACTATTTAACCACCTCTAAAATTATAGGAGATAGAAATTATCCGCAGGAACTACAGAGACAGTACCGTAAGGGAAAAATGAAAGAACAAGTTTCAATACCAAACAGCCAAGCTTCCCCCGTGTACCTTTTGCGTAATGGATTAACCAAAACAACCTTGACAAAGAGAACTTCAGCCAAACATCCCCAAAGCAGATGAGCTACTTGCAGGCAGTCATAAGGATGAATTCATCTATGGGGCAAAATAGTGAGAAGACCTGCAAGTACAGGTAGAAAGCCAGTCGAGCCTGGTGACAGCTGGTTATCCAGCACAGAATTTCAGTTCAACTTTAAACTTACCTAAAGAACACACTACTCCAAATGTAAATTTAAATGCTAGTCTAAAGAGGTACAGCTCTTTAGACACGGGACACAACCCCTTATAGAGAGTAAGCTACTCACCATCCATCGTTGGCCTAAAAGCAGCCACCAGTTAAAGCATTCTAGCTCAACAACCACAAAAACTGATTAAGTGGCCCACCATCCACGCCAAACTCCTAGCACCCAACTGGATCAATCTATACCTATATAGAAGAAATACTGTTAATATGAGTAACAAGAACTTTGTTCTCCCGGCATAAGCCTATACCAGCTCGGATGCCCACTCATAATTAACAATATAATAAAAATTGCCCAACCAAAATCGACCTGTACCTTCAGTTGTTAACCCAACACAGGCGTGCACAAAGGGAAGATTAAAAGAAGCAAAAGAACGTTTATATACATGTTTATAAATGTACATAGTTGTGTACGTATTCATACATATGCTCGTGTTTGAGAATGTGTCTGTATCTATTTTCCACTCTGTACCTTTGTATCCCCTCTCTTGTGTATACATCTACAGGGATGTCCTACAGGTATTTAAAACTGAATTTAGCACCTTCTCCCAGGACCTGCTCGCTCTCACACATATTTTTTCTGGCTAAAGACACCATTCAGAGCCCCAAGCTAGAGCCTCTCCTTTTCTCACACCCATCCTCAGCCAGCTCAGCGGTCCAGTCTTGTCACTTTACCTCTGCCGTATTTCAACATCCCACCTCTCCCTCCCTCAATGCCTAGTTCACACTTCTTTATCCCATCTTGAGATTCATTCAGCAAATAATTTCTGAGCACTTATCATGCTCCAGGCTCTCCTCCAGGGTCTGGGGATACTGCGATGAACCTGCAGACAGAAATCCTTTCCCTAACGGATTTTACAATAAACAAGCAAATAAGTAAAATATATATTGTATGCCACATGGTAATAAATGCCGTGACCTTCATACATGCTTATTTCCTGCATCCTCAAAACATTTTGCAAAACTACGTATTCCCTGCCATGTTTCTAAGTTGGCATCTAAATTTTATCATACGTTGAAATAACTGTAAAGGATTCATTTGCCAGAAGTTGTAAGTATTGACATATATATATACTTAAAAATTATGTACACTGGCTCCTCTTTAACACTGAAATATTTGCTTCGTTCTCTTGTCTTCTTGAAGTCAGTATTTCTATCCCACTTGTCACACGTACTTTTATCCTGTCATGTATTTTTATGCTTGAAAATATTTTATTGATCAACCTCTCATTTATTTCTGCAAATATTTCATATAAATCAGAATTTTATCATGTATTTTATTTTCTGTGTCTTTAGGGCACTATGTGCTAGAATGTTTTTTGGATGTTGAGTTATTATCAATTATTACTAGTACACTCCTGATCAAAATGATATACTATGTTCCAGTTTGTGATAAATTAGTTTTTAAGAATTAAAGTAAACATTTATTGGAAATGTGTTTTGTAGTGAACTGACAGACCCATTCTCCCTCTTTTTATCTAATCTGTGGATGAATATGACATTGTCAGAATGAGGCAGGGTTCAGCACTAATTCTATTCTTATTTGTTATTTTTATAGATGTTTGGGCTGAGAGCTCATGGTTACATAAATGGGAAAGGAAAGGATTTTGCAATTAAAATGTCATTCAATTTTTAAAAATGTTCGCGTCAAAAACAAAATTTTATTATTAATGATGACTTGAATAAAGTTTTTCTTCACTGTGATTGCAAAGAAGTAGAAAACATCAGATGTGCAAAATGATTTGTTGGCCAGTCATCAGGATCATTCACTTTCTCAATTTATGGGAAATGTACCCAAAAGGCTTTACCAGGACTTACAAAAATTATCCATTATACCTGTCATGCCTTCACTCAGAGTTTAAACTGATTGCCTGAAAAAGGGCTGGAAAAACTTTAGTATCATTAATTCCATTATACCTTTGGAAACGCAACATTTTTAATGTTTTTTTTTTTTTGGTCATATAACCTCTTTTAAATTTATTTTTTTGTCAGAATCATGGCATAGCAGAGTTTTAGAGCATTTTATTTATGGAAAATGTCCAATTGGCAAGTAGTGCTCACTTTCAAGTCACTCGGCCAAATCAGATTTATTTCCTGTAAGAAAAAAAAACCAACCTGACTTCATTTTTCAATTACATAAACCTCTTAATATGTAATTCATGGAATAAGATTTTTAAAATGACTGAGAAATAAATTATGGAATGCATTTTATAAGACAAATGATCAAAAACAGTTAAGATAAAATTAAAATAATGTATCCATTTCACAATAATTTATAAAACAAGATAAATTAATATTTGTTTCTCTTTTCCTAATTCTCAGTAATGCAATATAATGTAGCTAGAAAAATGAGTTATCTGTGAAGCAAGAATTATGATAAAATGTAC